GGCTACAGGCAATCCTTGGCAGGGCAGCACTGAGTCAGGGGCACTGGCTTTTTTGCACTTGGTGGGGATGGGATGACCCATGGATGATATTATGCCTGGACCAGAAGGAGAAGCTGCAGAGCCTGTGATGTCTGCCGGGGAAATGCCAGGGGATGTTCCCGGGCCAGGCCGGGAACGCGCCTAAGTGCTGCCTGTGCCTCCAGATTGCTGCCCCTCAGGCTGGGTGATGTACAGGGGCAAGTGCCTCTTCCTGTCAGCGGAGAAGAAGACCTGGGAGGACAGCAGAGCAGAGTGCAATAAGAAAATTTCTGACCTCCTGATCACTAAATCCTGGACTCGCTGGACCGTGCCGGTACGGTGTGCAGGGAGCTGAGGGCTGGGGCTGGGTGCGTTGTGCCCCAGGGCACCCGGGCGCATCAGCACTGTGCCGGGGGAAAAGTCCTGCGGGAGTCCTGGGATCGGAGGGTGTGGGGCTGATCCCTGGAGCGCAGCATGACAGCATGGAGCAACAGCACTGGGCGCAAGGAAGAACGGCTCTGCCTCTCACCTCCGGCCATGCATGGGCTGGAGCAGGGCACCTGAGCTGCTCAGACGTCCTGCCACAAGGAGCCCTGAGGCCAAAGGGCTGCGTGGGGAGATCACACCCCTCGGGAGACCCCTTAGCCGGGGAGGCAGGTCTACGTTAGCAGCCAGTAGTGTGGCTGGGGGGGGCTCATGCGCTTTTCTCTGCTGGGCTGGCTGTCGGCATGGGAGAAACGCTCACTGCAGGGACTCATTGCACTCTTCCTCGGACTGCACACACGATCCCTCTGCTCGGTGCCAGGCACACGTGCGCCCCTGTGGCCTCTGGAGAATTGTCCTTGCACAGGGTGAGGGAGCTACTTGGGGTCGAGAAAGACCACGTAAGGCTCCTTTTCCCTTCCCCAGAACTTCCTGAAGAACTCAGACACCCCGTACTGGATTGGGCTGTACAAGAGCAGCTTCCCCTGGTACGAGTACGGGTGGCTGGAGGAAGAGGATCCAGATGGTGAGGGTGGTACGGACGCCTGGCTATGGGTTGATGGCTCTCTTTATGAAAGGTACTTGGAGGCTGATTTGTGTGCATCCATTGCTGGAGAGGCGCAGACAGGGTAACACCCCCCGCCAGAAAGCCCTTCTCTTCCAGCAAGGCCTTAAGAAGCTTTTTAAATCCCACCAATATTCAGTCCCTGCCCTTGGCACAACTGCTGAGGCATAAAACAAGGTGGCGCTGAGGGGAGGTGGGAGCAGCCATACGTTGAGGAGCTCAGAGGCCATGCAAAGCCTTAGAGGGCACGTGCAGGGCCTGTGCGAGCAGGAGCCAGTGATAGGGGACAAAAGAAACCGCAAGTTTTATTTGGGGTCTAGACAAAGCATTTGAGCACCACATTTTCCTCCCACGTCTCGTCCTCAAGGGGCAATCAGGCCTTCCCCCCCGCAGAGCGGTGCGGGCTCCTCCCCGCCACGTGCACAACCTCCCCTTCTCACCGCCGCTTCCTCTTGCGGTGTCTGAAGGCAGTGGGGAGGAACAGGTCTGTCTCGCCCGCCCCGCCCCCTCCGATGCCTCTGGCAGCGCCGGGCAAGGCAGCATCTCTGGCGGTCCAAGCCTCCTCGAGGATGACTGGCGTCCCCCCTCCCCAGGGCGCTCCGGAGCAAAATGTTCCCCAGCCTCAAGGGTGGGCAGCTGAGGTCCGAGTGGAGGGAGGCCAAGGGGAGTCACGAGCAATGCAGACCTCTCGGCAGAGGGATTTCTGGGCCTGGAGCCCCAAGGAAGGGCAGGGATGAGTTTCGGCCGGTGAAGTTAGTGAAGGAGGACTGG